CCATAATATCCCGACGCGTACATGTAAAACTATTAAGAATATAGTATGTAAGCTTTCATTCTGACCGAAATTGTATGTTATTCAACTTAAACTTAGGCACAAAAAACACTTTCCATGTAAATGTATTCCAAAATGAAGGGAAAAGGGGGGGGGGGAGGAGAAGTCGATACTTTACAGACATCACTTAGACTAAATGTTTTAACGGTATTGAGACCGTATGTTTTCTGCGTTTGTTTTAGTTATGACATGTTTTATTTGTGGTCAATATTGTTTTCAATTTCTATGAAATTTTAGTCATACAAGCGAAATCAAAATATACTTACTTACAACTTTAAAATCAAATTAAAATATGATGAACAATTTTGATACTTTAGAGTTGTCTACCTTCTAATAATAACTGTAACATATAGATACTAAGCGAAATGCCGATGTAAAAATTATTCTTTTTAAGGCGGAGGTGGGTTTCTTGGTTAAAGTGTGTTAAAACATTTACAGCTGATTATGTCAAAAATGTTATAGAATTCGAGTTCCAGATGTAGCATAGTATATTGAAAAATTAGGATAACGGAACCCTGTACCTTTTACGAAATTGAGTGTGGTTTTTATTGTACCTATATTTAAACGACCAGCTAAAATTAAGCATCGCATTTCAATCTAAGTTCTACACATAAAATACTAGATAGATATCTAATTTTTACGCAAAAACAAATAAGCGTTCTTGCATTAGGTTTTTAAGGTTTTCTAATTTCGGCTGAGCTATTGCTTAGGTCAGAGTAAAACGACGATGAATACTAAGGGATAAACAGTATTCATATTTAGAAATGCAACTGTGAAAAGAGTACTCGTAGATAACTTCAGCAAGGTTAGTGTAGAGTAGTATAGTTTAATGTTACTGACTTGGAAGTATGCGTGACCCAGTCTTAATTTTTAGAACCCTTAGACTGCTCGACATAATTTCGAGGACGGATGTTAAACTCATAAATTGGTCCATTTCATATTTGCCAAGATCCAATTATCACCGAGGCCTCTTAGGTACATGTATATATATACAAGTTGATGACCCAGTCGAGTTAATTCTTGAAATAGTTTTTTTGCATTTTGTTTTTGCATAACCAAATATTTTAATGGGACAATATAGCAAATGTATGCAAATGTGTTTTTTTCATTGTATAGGAAAAAAAATCATGAAACACGTTGTCTTGGTAACAGGCGGCAGTGGATTTCTTGGTCAACATGTGGTGAAGCATTTACAACTCTATGGAGAAAATGTTAAAGAAATTAGAGTTTTAGATGTGGTCGACTATAAGCAAAAGCTAGGTATACTGAGACTTTTAACCAAAGTTATTTTTTACTAAGGGAGCTACCATTTGATTTTTAGGGGGGGGGGGGGGGGGGGGGCTTGGATGAAAAATTTTGTCCTGCCTTTTTATTTTTCCCTCAATTCGGTCCTGCCTTTTTTATTTTTCACTCTATTCGGTCCTGCCCTTTTTTTTTTTAGTTTATCCTGACTTTTTTTTTACATAAATTGTCATCCTGCCTTTTTTTTTTTGCAAATAATCTCATCCTGCCTATTTTTTTCAAATTTCATCCTAGCCCCCCCATAAAAATCAAATGGTAGCTCCCTAAAATGAGACAACAGAGGTGTATTGTTTAGATCTGTTGAAACTAACTAAACAGTTAATTACAGCTATACTTAAAAAATTACAGATCAACCACGCACTACAATACAAATAATAGAGGGAAGTGGCATGATTGTCAATGTGAAAAGTCGCCACAAGAGATCAATTGACGTAGAAATTAGCAACTATATATGTCATCGTATGGCCTTCAACAATGAGGAAAATCATAACGTATAGAAATCTACAAAAGGCACGGATTTGAATTGATTGCGGGCACCCAATTCCTCCTCCTATAACCTGGGACAGTTGTGTAACAGCACAGCATAAGACAATACTATAAAAATCAGTTGAAAAGGACTTATCTCATCAGATCGATACAAAGCATAAAAAAAACCAAATCAATATCAAACCTTAGAAACACAAAGTACATATCTGAGAGTACTCGCAGTTACTAAAAGCTAGATCAAAGCCGTTCAGATGATAAATATAATCCAAACCGACAAGGAAGTAAAATAAAAAGACCCATACCGTTGAAAAACGGCGGATTACTTTTATAATAAAAAAGCTACATTAAAAGAATGCAAATGCATCAACCAAGACAATTATGTACATTCAAGACATTATCAAAGATATATTTGTGTTTTTATTTTAGAATTTGAGGTAAAGAAGCCAATGAAAACATTTACCGGGAGTATAACGGACAAAGATTTAGTAGAACGAGCTTGCCGTGGTGTTGATATTGTTTTACATGTTGCATCCATTATCGACTACAACCAGTTCCCTAACCACACCATTCTTCATGAAGTAAATGTCAAAGGTAGCGTTCAATTATAAGTTTAACTGAACATTTGTCTCGTTTGATGGCATGACTGTTGTGTAACAATAAGTATTGATCTTACGGCAGTGGTGTTGTTCTCAATGTATATATTGTTAGCTTTTCTGACTAGTTCATAACAAGTTCATAATAATATTATAAACCAATGTTGCGGCATTCAACGTTTTCGTTTGTGACTGAATAAAATTATTTGGGAGGGCTTCTTTAATAGCCTACTCACCTAAAATAATTATCCATAAAATTCAGTTTTAGTTCGTGTAGTGAGGTAGTGTTGTATTCACCATCAAAATTATAAATAAAGGCAATTACTAGTAATAACACAATTTTGAAATATCGACGAAGTGATACAGAATAGGATTTAAGAAAGTAACATTTAAAAAAACACAAAGTAGGGCCACGATAAGCATGGGGTTGTCTTAATCATATCTTTTCCTTTGAATTGTAAATAAGAAGACGTGGTATGAATGCCAATGAGACAACTCTCCATCCTCACAATTTGTAAAAGTTAAACCATTATAGGTCAAAGTACGGTCTTCAACACGGAGCCTTGGCTCACACCGAACAGCAAGCTATAAAGGGCCGAAAAATGACTAGTGTAAAACCATTCACACGGGAAAACCAACGGTCTAATATATATAAAAAACGAGAAACGAGAAACACTTATTAACCACATCAACAAACGACAACTACTGAACAACAGATTCCTGACTTAGGACAGGTGCAAACAAATGCAGCTGGTTTAAAAGTTTTAAGAGGCGTCAACCTTCACCCTAACCCGAATGTACACTTAATAAGAAATTAAATTTGATGGAGTCCCACGAACTCCAAAAGGTACGAGATCAGGTGCCTGTTCATTGTAAATATCTACCAAAGAAACTTATAATCTATTATGCAAGACGCGTGTTTGCTTTAATTTGACTCATCATTGGCGCTCGAATAAAAAGGGTTTTACTCATAATCACACACGAGATATAAGAGCGAGCATTACAAAACAAATAGTATCTCCTGCTCTACAAGTATCGCATTAACACTATATTAGCTACATCGATGCCTTCTTAATTTGTACCCTCAACATTTCCAAAACAGGTACAAAAGTTATATTGAATGCTTGTCGGAAGGAGAATGTCCCGTACCTTATTTACTGTAGTTCTAGTTCACTGTATCTTGGTCCGGAGGAAGTCATTGACGGAACAGAAACATCTGTCTCACAACCATCTAGATTCTATTATAAAGCTTACGCTTCGTCAAAAGCTAAAGCACAAGATATGGTCTTATCTGCCAATGGTTCTAAATTAAATGATGGTAAGTACTAACAAAATGCCATGTTTGAAAGTTTGGCTAAATAGTAATGTAATATGCATCATGTTCAACTGTTAGTAACAATATTAACAACAGACTGTGTATAAGTAACACAGTAACCATCTGTAACTTGATGCAACTGATTTGTGTATCTTTCGAGAACATTAACTTTGTTTTCCTTGGTGAAACATATGGTCATTTTAACAATAAGAAATCGGGCGACCAGCTGCCGTTTTTAAGGACACGGATTTCGTATTTAAGAATTTATAACATTTTTGACAAAAGTTTCAAATAACAGCTAGCACTTGCATTTATGACTTTCCCTTCAATAATAATGATAATAATAAAATTAATAATAATGATAATAACAAAATTAATCACAATGATAATAAAAAAAATATTAATACTGATAATAATAAAATCAATAATAATGATAATAATAAAATCAATGATAATATTTATAATAATTATAATGGTATTATATAATAATAACTATCATGATAATATATATATAAAAATTATAATAATCATAATAATTTCAAAGATACTATAAAATAATAATGTTGATGATAATAGATATATATAAACACGATAATAATAGCTTGTTTATATATGACAGGAAATGTCATGAGGACTCTAGCGATTTTACCTTTGCCTATGTTTGGGGAATTGGATAACGTACAAATACCACTTGCCGTTCGCCCATTCAAGGGTAAAACATTCCCACTGGTTGGACCTATGGATGCTACTGTACAGTTCAGTTATGTTGGAAACACCGCAATGATGTTCGTCATAGCAGCAGAAGCTTTACCTAATAATTCATCGCTTGGAGGACATTTTTTCTTTGCAGCTGACGATACACCAATAGCCTCATATCCTGAAACAATGAAACCATTTTTTAACCATTTTGGTACTAAGACCTCTAAATGGCATATTCCGTATTGGATTGCAATGTCTCTGATGTTTCTGTTTTTCTCTATTCTGTTTATTTTGCGGTTCATGAGAATAAGTTTACCGACTGTGCATTTTTCGTTTGGCAGTTTAGCCTTTCTTAATACGACATTCTATGTTACTTACGACAAAGCAAAAACTATGCTTGGATATAAACCTTTTTATGAATATACGTCATCAATCGAAAGAGCCAAAGTGTTTTATGAAAGTATAATTTAAGAAAGATTGAATGTGACTTATTTAAAAAAAATCTTTATTCTTTCGTATGTAAAAGTTAATGTTAAATGTGTATAACGTTCATGTAAAAACAATATTGTTATCTATTCATGTTCAATCTTACAAATAGTATAAACACTTTTATTGTAAGACTTATTAATGTGAAGAATCAATTTGTTTCTTTACAAGTATAATTGCAGCGATCAGAAAAAATGAAAACGTATTGCATCCTATTAAGACAACAAATTATTTGTTTCTTCAAAATCTTTCACTTCTACCTATAAATTGTACGTAAAATAAAGGCGGAAAAGATACCAAGGTGACCCTAAAAAAAATAGGTCAATAAAAAACAGAATGGCCAAATTCTTTTGAGCATGAACTTGAGCACCAAAAAAAAAACCAGAGGGGAACTCAGGTGTTCCAAATGGACCAGCAGTTGCGGTCCCCGCAAGTGACACTCGTACTATGAAAGCATTTAAAGAATAAGAAAAATCTGTGAATGTCAGTCTACAGACTTATATAATTTTCATATCCTATAAAAAAAAATGTATTCCACGCAAACAATCTAAACCTGAATAAAAAGGAATTATAAATATTACAACATTGTCAGCACACAATCATTTTGCATAACTTATAAATCATTCAATGTTCATTACAAAATAAAAACGCGTTTAACGGACTACATAAAAAGAACATTTAAAACACCTAACTGTGACATGTTATCCCATATAAATAAAAAAACATGATATAAATCATGTGTTCATCTTTTCATTTTGCGTTTCACACTGAAATGAATATAATCTTGATGTACATTGTATATAGAACGATCGTGTTCCGTTAACATTGTGTTACAATCGATGGCCAACGTAACATCAATCACATAGGTAACAAAAAACTAGTTCAACATGTTAAAACTTACAATAAAATTAACAGGTACAAATTAAACATGATAATAAAAAGATATGACTTATGTTTTAGCATGTTTCTCTTTTACAAATTGTTAAAATTGAATTTACTGCTTCCTGTGGTACATCATTATAAAAGATGTCCAGTCTCTGGTTTTGGCCACAACTCGGCTTGTCCTCCCAGCTTACTATAGCCTCTCACTGCTACAGTTAAAGGTATGTTGTTTTATATTGATTTACGATTTGTCGTTTTCACTATTAACTAAGGTTTCGCCTCCCTCTATGATGACTTTAGAAGGATTTGGCTATTATTTTTAGGTCCCTTTTGGTCATGTGGCTCTTCACGTGTTTTGTTTCTAAAACATCCTTGGCTTTCAAGAATTTGGCTTTGAACGTTCCGGATGAAGGTAAATCCAGAAAGAGCGTTAGACACACATTTATAGAGTGGTGTTTTAATTTGTTACATTCAGTATTGGTTAATGAAACAAATAAATGAGACTGACACTTATTTCCAATAAAATTACTTTATCATTTAATTTCATTAACTTTATGTTTTGAACACAGGCATCTGTTTAAGCATTTGATTGAAATTTATCTGCAGATAAAAGCAGTAATTCTCACATTGAATTATAATATTTAATCATAAACAATCTTGAACATGATATATTCAAAAACGGCCTTTGAGAGCATCGGTTTATGAACCATTAACATTTCATTTTCGTTTTGTTTAACAGAAATTGACAAGACGCGAAATAATTAAAAACAGAGATTTTATATTTATCGTTTTGAATTGAGCATACTCAGTCAGAATTATCACCAATTAAACCTCTAAAATCAATTAATGTTTTACTCATTTTTATAAATGTTCATCTGATTTTGCAATACCCAGAAAACAATCTATAATTATTATTTTTACCTTGGAAAATGCTCGTAAAAGCTACTTTGCTTTTTTCAATTAGTTCGGCACAATCCTTTTGTTGATAAAAAAAAATTGAAATAGGTTACAAAACCAAATGGACATGCAAATGAATAAATGCATTTGTACTCATATAGGTTTACAAACATCTAAAAACCCAAGGCAGTTTAAGTACTTACATTGTATATACGTACGGAGCTATATCACTAAAAAGGAACTACTATTCGATAGACAGACAGTTCCGAATATTACATTTATATAATTATTATATTATACATTTGGTAACACACACAGCTGAAAAGCAATAGCAAAAAAATGCTATCAAAGTATAACTTTATTGCCTAATAGATATTTTCATTACTGATAATCATTTTAACTAAATAATTTTAAAAGAAAAAGTATTAACGAATTGAAATACTTAGCGAATATGTCTGAATAATTCATTTAATAATAAAAAAAACCCTGGAATAATACCAAATATCGTCGAACGGAACATGATACTTATTATTTCCAAAAGACTAGTATACAGAATTATACTTCTAAATTCTAAATTAATTAAATATGAATAACTAATAAATAAATAAATAATGAGACAAAAGATATGTTGGCGTCAATGTGGTAGTTAACTGAGAACATCAAAAAAACATCCATACAAATGTCGACTTCTAAATATCATTTGGTTATGTTTTGTCTTGAATTACTGTCTCATTGACGTTTAACATACATTTCATTTCATTTTTTTTTTTCTGCCAAATTTTTGAAAGAAGAATATTTTAAATGATAAATAATAATCAAGTTTTAGACATCTAATTAATTATGATTACATGACTAATGTACAGGAATAATATGTGCAGCGATCACTACGCTAGCCACTATGAGAAAGAGAAAGAGTCCATTTATATGTATTTTTTAAATTACTTTGCAGTGTTTACCTGAAATAATAAAAAAAAGAAAATATACTACTATTTTTGTATGACATTTAGACTTAATTTTAAAGTTATTGTAAACGTTTTTCGTATTTAGTAGAAATTTCTGCACATCTTTGTGACAACTTTTTCTCTCACACCTTGCAAGATAATTCCTTAATAGAAATTCTTTTCATTATAAATGTCATCTACTAAACAACAAATAAATTGAAAAAAAAAAAATATTTACGTGACATATATAGCCTTTCATGGGAGATTATAGGTTTTATATCATATTGTTATGAATATTATGTTTAAAAAAGTTTTGACAAATTTATAAGTGTTAATAAATTACACAAGTACAGAGGGAATCTACAGATTCACACTTGTTTCTATTATTTTACATCGTTGATTTACTTTTAAAAAAATCCAGCTTTGTATGATGATATAGAAGACAAATCTAAAATATCATAATGGCTTTTAATGAAATACCTTTTCGGTAACACCACAAATAAAAATAAAAAATAAACAGAATGCCACTGAATTCTAAATGATTGTATTACTAATAAAAATCTCATGTTGTATTTCAGTCTTTCATTATGAATCCCATTCAGACCGTTGTCACATTTATTGCTGTCTTCGTCACAGTTAATGGTGCTGGTTATGGAAAAGGTGGCGGTATGGGTGGCGGTATGGGAGGCGGAATGGGAGGCGGTATGGGAGGTATGGGTGGTGGTATGATGGGTGGTGGCATGGGAGGCGGTATGGGTAAAATGATGGGCGGTGGTATGATGGGTGGTGGAATGATGGGTGGTATGGGCGGTGGAATGATGGGCATGATGGGTGGAATGGGAGGAGGTATGGGTAAGATGATGGGCGGTGGAATGGGAGGTGGTATGATGGGTGGAATGGAAGGCGGTATGGGTGGAATGGGAGGTGGTATGGGTGGAATGGGAGGCGGTATGGGTGGAATGGGAGGCGGTATGGGTGGAATGGGAGGTGGTATGGGTAAGATGATGATGCCAATGCCAATGCCAATGCCAATGCCAATGCCAATGCCGATGCCAATGCCAATGCCAATGCCGATGCCAATGCCCAAATCTATGCCAATGCCAATGTCAATGCCAATGTCAATGCCAAAGATGGGAGGTGGAATGATGGGTGGCATGATGGGAGGTAAGTCAAATCATTAAAGCTTTTTATTACATTTAATGTTTTGCATGATAGACGGGAGAGATACACAACATTCACCCATTTTGATTATTTATTTTTTCGCTCTGACACAATACATATAACTGTTAAAGTATACTACCTCTAACACAAAGAACAAATACCCAATACACAGGGTTATATTGATAACATACAAATGTGTCTAGCTCGCTCTTAGCGTGACATTCAAAATTTCAACTGCATTGTTTTAATATCGCCAAATTTCAGCGGAACTATCATGTCTTTCTTTACTGAATGAAATGCTATTTCAAAGTAAACATAAACCGTTGTTATGCTCCATCTTAGCATATTCATATTAATAACGTTAGGTCAAGACGTCCTGCAACAATGACCAACACCTGGTGCCGTATATTATGCTATAAAAGAATTTATATTAATTAAAAAAAACAAACAAACAAAACAAAAAAAAAAAAAAAAACAAAAACAAAAACAAAAACAAAAACAAACTATCGGCTTGATGTATGACAAAACAAATATAAAGATTAATTATAAAGAATAAGGTTAGGTACATATATTTGTGAAATTTCCAATGTAAATTGTGTAATACTACTGACATCACTTTCTGAAAAAAAATACATCTGTATATTTGGTCAAGAATGTAATTTGAATTCAAATTTAAGCATCGAAAGTTATACATTAATATATTTCACGTTAAAGATAAAGAAAGACACACATTATTATAATGACAGCAGAAAAACATGTTTATTGTTAATATTATTAATTGACTTGTTATGGTAATTTATAATGTATATTTTATATATGTTCTGTTTTCATATAGGTATGGGCGGAGGAATGGGAGGAATGGGAGGAGGAATGGGAGGAGGAATGGGCGGTGGAATGGGCGGAGGAATGGGCGGTGGAATGGGCGGTGGCAAAAGTAAGTCTTTGTTTATTGAAGCTTTACTTTGTGAGAATTACTGTAGAATTGCTTACATCCACGTCTGCTTTTTTATGTTGAATGTTTTAATATTCTTTGAGTATTTTGTCATTTATTTTCGTATTGTATTTGAAACATAATAAAAAAATCCTCCTTTATATATATAAATTTTTAATGTAAAATGAAATGTTATTTTTTTTTGTGTCTAATTTCTAATATTCAACTAAAAAATCACTAAGTCTTACATTGATAAATATTTTTTTTTTAAATTGCAGGATACAGAAGAGCCACTGGTACGTATAACTCGCCATTTATTTCTATTAAAAAAAAATATCATTATTTCTTAAATTGCAAATTAAAGTACTGTGAATTCATTAATATTCGTTGGGTTCCAATTTTCGTGGATTTCGTGTGTCGAATGAACTACGAAATTACCTGTTCAACGAATTACCAATTTTCTATAAGGTCATATGCACCCTTTACCAAATCCACAAAAATTAAATATCGACGAAAGTGAAAAAAAGTTTCCTCAATCCACGAAAATTGGTACCCACGAAAATAAATGAATCCACAATATAGCAAACGTTATAGTGAAATAGTCAGTGCTTAACGAATACTTTGCATCTTAATTAGATTGATTGGCTGATTGGCTGATTGAGTGAGTAAATGATTGATTGATTGATTTATTACTTAATGTGGCGTCATCACAAATGCGTTATCGGAACTAGAGGCCATTAAACATATTTCTAAAATTGTCCGTTTATAAATTTTGAAATTATAAAAAAACTAAGGTTTCAACTCTCTAAGGCAAAGTTGACCTTCGATGAATTTGGCTATTTGTTTTAGGTATTGTTGTCATATAGCTCTTCAACTGTTTCGGTACTTATACATCCTCGGATTTCAAATATTTGGCTTTGAGCGTTCCTGATGAAGGTAAATCCAGAAAAGCGCTTCGGACGCATGACATTATGAAACGTGTTGTTTTCAATTTTTTAAGCATCTCATTTAAGACTCCAAATTTAGACATTGTTATATTGTATTTAATCAATTGTTATCCATTCGTTTGATGTGTTTGAGCTTTTGATTTTACCATTTGATAAGGGACCTACCGTTTTGAATTTTCGTCGGAGATCAGTATTTTTGTGATTTTACTTTTTACATGTAATTTATTTTAAACTTTGATTTTTCCCGAAAAAAAATTCCACAAAAGTACATACTAATGGAAACACACTAATATACCTTTTGTGAACATTTTTATTGTCGTTTACTTATGTTGCCATTTTGTTTCTTTCAGATTCCTACTCATATGATTATTAAACAACGTCATTTAGTTTAGATTAGTCAGAATTATTTCATCATTGTACTATATAATAAATGTTTACAAATATTTATACCTTGATTGTTTTCTCATGATGATAATCACTAATATGAATTATTTCATATAATATATTTTATTGGTGTAAATATGATTATGTGTCATTCATTACTCTACAGTAAAACACATTATCAGAAATGGTATGAATTGGACTTAAAGACTCGTGGAAAGTTGGTTCGCCTACAAACAAGTTTAACCCAGCCATATTCTGTATGTGCCTGTCTCAAATCTGGAGCCTGTAATTCAGTGGTTGCCGTTTGTAGCTGTATAACAAATTTGTTTTTCGTTCATTTCGTGGCCTTTTATACATAAAGCTAACTATGCGGTATGAATTTTTATCATTGTTGAAGGCCTTACGATGACCTTTAGTTGTTAGTGTCTGTGTAAGTTAGTTTCTGGTGGAGAGTTGTCTCATTGGCAATCATACCACGCCCTCTTATTTTTATATTGGTTTCTTTAATGCTATAACATAATTATGGTCTTCTTAGAAGGGCATTATCGTAATAATACAAAAATCAATAGAGGAAACGAACAGACTGAATTGAACTTCAACGATAAACATAACTCAATTGTGTTAGAAAGTAACACACAGCAGCTTATGTATTACTCGATCGTGATTTAGGAAAGACGAATAAGGAATGTGGCTTGACTCGACATGTTTGTGAGCTCTCATTACTCTTATACAAGCATGAAACGACAATCATATTTCCTAACAGGGAAATATGTATCAATAAAAGTAGGTAATTGGGAAAACGTCAATGAAATGAATTCACAAAAAACACAAAGAAGTCTTTTTGGTCAATTTACCGTCTCCAATGATTAACAAATAAATATAGACTAATAAAACAAAACAATACAAAGGGCAGTCAATAATAAACATCGAAGAAATACACGCTTTTTGGCAACACAGTCCTTAAACCTATACAAGGGTTCACAAAACATCACAACAGACACGGACATAGCGAGGGAGATGTATTATATAAACCCCGTAAGATGGTAGCAAAGGAACATGACCATCCTTAACAGGAAGATTAACATTAGGAAACGGATATCATCCCTTTTGTAGTAAATGTAAGTGTATAATTTTCCGTGTATAACTGAAATATCTAAATTTCGGAAAGGACAGTTATTACCGTGACTATTTGATTTATTTACAGTAATTTACCTTAGGTAAATTTTGGCAGTACATTTAGAAAATTCTTGATTATTTATCGAAAAATATCATCAAGATAACGATGAGTGACGTAGAATTTATCAATAAAATGCAAGTTAAGCGGTTCCTTACTGAGTTTGGTTAGGAATACCTACAACCTGATTTTATAACTAGCTTAAATTCTCTCATGAATGACAGTCGTCTATTGTTCTGTTCCATTGACGCAATTAAATGAGCAACCGAATTAGAAATTTGACAATAATTGGAATAGGCAGTCACAATTGAATAAACATGCATCACAACTGACTAAAAAATGCAAATAAACATACAATTAGAACACACTCAAAGAAAAGGTGTCGTAGTTGATAAAATAGTGACAAGGATGCTAAAAAAAAAAACCTTTTTGTAGTTGATAGTACGATAAAATGCAAATCTAGTAAAATAAAAATACATGGACAAAACAAAGAACACGACACTGTAAAAAGAATAAATAAATAAAAAATAAAAATAAACTGTTGTGTCAAAATCGCGCATCAGGATCGTCCTAAACAAGGAACGCCTAAATTAAAAAAAAAACACTTCAACAGTCATTTACTTTTTTTATTTTTTTACTTTAAATCAAAACCAACTTGAATTCATTGTGAATTAGACACTTGATATGTTTCTATTAGGTCTTGGTATTTTCCGTTGAATATTTAAAAAAAAGGACGAAACGTTATTTCTCAAATCCATGGCTCATTATATATTTTAGAGAAAGAGCTAATATGTAAATGGCCATGAAACAGATTTCTACAAAAACATGTTAATTTGAGAATGGGAATATTGTGGTCCACATTTCTGTTCTAAAGTTTGTTATCAACTGGTGCTCAATGTCAATTTCTCGTTGCATAATGTTCACGGTGAAAGGAGACCTAGCAGTAAGTGTGTTTTATTTTACATACGGATCTATAGAATAAACATCAATTTTATTTGTTTATTTTTAATCAGGTTGTGGTATCTTCGTTTGAATTGTTCCACTGTTTTAATATTGTTGCCTTCTTTTATTTGTTTGGTTATTAGTGAAAGCAGTAACAAATAAAATCAACACGTTCTTAATTTTTAGGATTTACCTTGAAAATACGGGCGAATAAAACCAAATATTTAAAAGTCAATAATGTATAGGATATACGAAAACAGCTTCAGATCTATGTAACCATAGACCATAAAAAGAAACGTCAATCTGCTTAAAAAATTTGAAAACTCAGTTTCTTTATAAATTCAAAATTTATCAACGGACAGTTGTAGAAGATTTATTTGGTTAATAATATCAGTACTGGAGTGGTACTGAATAGTGAGCTGACGATACCATTGAGGACTTGGTAGTCTTCTAGCAGAGATGTGGACAGAGTGCTTTAAAAATGAAAACAACACGTTACAAATTCCATGCTTTCAAATGTGAAATAAAGTTGCAAATTATGCCATTTGGACCCTAGTGGATAGTTATCTCATTCGCAATCACATTACACCTCCTTATAAAAACTGATCAGCAAACAACAAACCAGTCATCAAAATTTTCATTTGCAAAATAACAAAAATACCGAACGCCGAGGACATTTCTAAACGGAAAGTCCTTAACTGGAAAAATCAAAAGCTCATACATATCAAACAAATGGATAACAACTGTTAAATTCCTGACTTTGTACAGGTATTTGGTACTTGGTACTAAACTTCAGAAAAATATGTAAACAATGAAAAACAAAAATACATTCAAACATAAAAATAGTCTTCACCTTATTTAAATATGGTAACGTAAGAGTAAAGATCGGGTTATTGTGTATTACAGTTGACGGTGTAAAGGTTCCCTGCACCCAACATTGTATTAATTCTAAATATCCAATTCTGTATTAATTTCCTACATCTAATGGTGTATTAATACCTTACATCCAGTGGTGTATTTAGTCTATACATACAGTGGTGTATTTAGTCTATACATCCAGTGGTGTATTTAGTCTATACATACAGTGGTGTATTTAGTCTATACATCCAGTGGTGTATTTAGTCTATACATACAGTGGTGTAAAAATTCCATACACCCAATGGTGTATTATTAAATTTCTGCATTCAATGATTTACTTATTCTCTACATGAAATGGTGTATAGATTCCAAACATGCAATGGTGTAAAAGTTCCATATATCCAATCTGTATAAAATCACTGCATCCAAAGTTTAATTAATACTTAACATCCAATTGTGTATTAATTCCCTATCACCAATGGTATATTAATTCCCTACATCTAGTGGTGTATTTATTCTATACATACAGTGGTGTATTCATTCTATACATATAGTGGTGTATAAATTCCATTCACCCAATGGTGTATAAATGTCCTACACCCAGTTGTGTATTAATCAAAAATCTGCATTAAAATATGTATTTATTCTTGACATGAAATGGTGTATAAATTCCAAACATGCAATGGTGTAAACATTCCTTACATCCAATGTGTGTATTAATTCCCTAC